CTGCATATAGGTTAAGAAAAAACTACAAATCAGCATGACAAAATATGCTCTGAATTAATTATGGAGGGGAAATCAGGTAAACTGAGAATGAGTGAAAAAAAAAAAAGTACATTTCTGGGTTGAAGCTGAGCTATTGCTTGACACTTACTGTTGAGTCGGGTCATGATTTCCACATAAAAAAAAGATATATCTTCCCCCACACTATATGCTTTTACAAAAACCATTAGGCCAATGCTTACGCATGCAACCCCAATTTATAGCTTGCATTGTGTTTGTTCGTGTGTGGGTTTGAGATAAAAAGCAATTACCGTAGCTCCCATAGAGCCTAATGGAAATATACCACACCAAATCAATAGAGATTAAACCTGCATACCCATGTGACATTGGTTTGTGAATCCTTTTTGAAATCTATCATGATGCAGGTGGATTCCATTTCCTCTATTTATTTACATCTGATTTAACTGCATGCAGGAAGATGAGTAAGACTTTGGAGGTTTTCTGGTTCCACAGAGGATAAATTATCCAAATTTGTTGCACTGCTCATTTGTACATAAATGAAATATATATATTTTAAGCAGATCCTGTACCATGTATCTTTCATTCTTTTGATTATTAAGGGATGAAAAATCTATATGATTTCTTTCTTTTGTTTTAAAAGGTTTTAACATCCCATTTGAATAGAGTCGTAACAGCGCAAGATTTTGCATTAAAAAAAACACACACAACTCTAAAAAGCATCTTTGTTCTATACAGACCAGAATGAATCTCTCTTCTAGCCTATTAAATATTCCTGTTGAGGGTTTTGTCTGAGTTTTCCTCTTTCAAATGAAATGTGGTTATGAATGATGAACCCTGGGGAACCTTGTACTAAGACAAGTCTTTACAGCACCATCTGTAGATGGCATTTTTGAGCACACATTTTATAGACCTAAATAGCCCTACTGGGGCCTGCTGATTTATGTTTTCATAATATGTCATATATGTTATCACTTTACAGCTTCGGCTGCTCCGGAACACACATAAAGTCCCCAGGGAATCCAACAGAGGAGGGCAATATCTACGTGTAAATGGACAAGTAATAACTCAATCTAACTCTAATCATTTAGATTTCAGTGTTATTTTTTATGGACCCACAGTAGTTTGAGTTGACATTCAATGGAACAAAACACTTGATTAGAATATAAATCTATTTTTATAAAAAAGGCATTGCTTTTGTCAGGTTTAACAATAAACCCTTTACAATTGCAAAAAAGAGCAAGTTGGAAAAAGGAAGTCTTGAAATAAAGATATATATCTACATGAACAGCATCAATAATATCATTTATACGTAAATAAAAATGGGATCAGAATATATATAAATATATTGGCTTTCACAGATTAGTTAGAACTTATTATTCTGTATTTCTGATTTTAGGAATACATTTTCTCTCGAGCAAGCTCTATGTTTTGCAGTTTAATTTCCAGCTTCTGTGCTATGTTTGCACCTCGTAAGGTAAAGTGAATATTGTATGCACATCCCCATCTTTACCCTTTAACAATGAAACTTCAAAGTTCAGGGTGCATAATTTTGAGTCCTACATCAAACAGCAACTCTCATTGGGTAATGACAGGTAGCAGCAACATCTTAGACGATTGAGTTACCATGGCAATGCGTTGAGGAGAGCAGCATGCAGAGGCGACAATAGCCTTCTGAATAGATTACTTTTTTTAAGGAGAAATGCCCCCAGCTGGCTATTTCAGAACATGGAGGCTCAGGAGGGAACTGCAGACTTTTGTATATTTGTAAGGGCAGTCCAAGATTCATCAGACATGTTTGTCCCATTAAGGCAACTGTAATTACATAGAGACAACCCAATATGTGTGCACCTGCACTGTATTTATGAACTCTTAATTAAAAGTTACAAGAATGCGTTTATTTAAGATGGGATGTTATTAGACTTTGGAAGAACATGTATTTGTAAAAACGATACTTTTTTTGCTAAAGCCAAATAAGTTACATATTGTCCCTTTAAGTAATCAAAGAGGACCGGCAGTTCTTGTATCTATCGGAATACCCAATGAGAGCAACTGCGATTATACATTTATTGATTATCTAATTTATATTGACAGTTAAAGGACACACTACTAAAAATGACATCAGGGTTAGACAAATTGCCTTCCACCCCATGCATAAAGCTGTAGAACTGGACAGCTCCTTCAGTGAAAGACTGTTAAACCCTTGGTACACAAAGAAGCACTTTCGCAGATCCTTCCTCACAGCTGTTTTTAGACCTTAAAATCTTCACTAAACTTCTTTGCTTTTAATAGACCCACAGAGTTTTTACGACACTGCTGCTAGTTGCACAGCTTTTCTCTGCTCTATGATTGTTTTCACAGTCATGCTCTTATTTGCCTTTCTTCTGTAACACACTGTGGTTCTGGCGTACATTCTTCTTTTTTTAATCTGACCTGAGTATTTCTTTTAAACTGACTGAATTGTTATATTTTCTGAGATGTGAATTTTCATTTGTTGGACAGTCTATTCTAACTTTTTTGTTTCATAGTTTTCAATTCACACATGTACCTATTCTATTCTATTTAATTTAATTTTACTCTATTCTTTTCTTTTCATATAATGCTGATCCAAATTTAAAGGGATTTTGCTAGAATAATTAGAGAGAAACTTCAACCACTAATCATTTAACCAAGTGAAACAGCTTTAAGACCTTTACAAACGTTTGTAAATCTACCTATCACTCAAAGGATAAGGACAAGAAGAAAAAAAAGAGGGCAATGACCTCAAATCTGATCACCAGTATAAGCAATTCCATCTATTTGGCATAGGAGTTTGTGCTCTCATTTCCAGGACTCCTGATGTCCCTCTGGCTGTGGGCTTCAGTACATACCCTCCTTTTCTCAATAGTAGAAATATCAGCACAAAATCCTCTAACACAACCTTGGGGATTGACTCCACACTTATAGGATCATGAGACATCTGATGCAAAACTGCAGCTATCAATACACCTTGAACAGGTCACCAGGTCGTCACAAGCCATCACAGAGACACCTAGGGAAAAATAACCATGGTCATATACTTAGACTTAAGAGCAAATTAAAAGAGCAATTAACCTAGCAGTCATGTTTTCAGGAAACTGGAATACCATAAGAGAACGTGCACATGCATGGGGAAAACCTGCAACTGCTTACTAGAAAAGCCCTTTTGCTTTGACAAACCACTCATTTCAGATGCATGTCAGCTCGACAGGAGAAATGATAAGTCTTCATATTCTTAGTCTGACTCAACTCATAAAAACCAGAGACATTCTGTTACAAATCACAATTTATTAGAGGAGTTAATGTGATTGACATGAAAGGGGAAAGGATATAAGCTTTTGAATCTCTCTCTTCTCTACAGACACAATAACTAATTTATCCATCCAGCAGAAGACATGGGATTCGTTGGAGTGAGCAAATTATCTAAAATGCAAGGAGCAGGTTATGCAATCACATATTTCAATCCCAATATTTTCTGCATTAAACCAACTCAACATCAATGATATTTTCCAAATATAAATCCAATTACTGTGTTGTATATTTCTATTTGACCATCTTTTTTAATGCAACCAAAAGGATATCTTGTTAACCAACTGCCTTCAAAACCAACCGAATTATTAAATTGAGTCCACCTTTGCATAATGTAGTCTAAATAAACCCAGCCATTCTGAGAAGCCCTCAGAGGTTGGTTTAAGAAAATGAGAGAAAAAAACCTCATCATGAAGACAAAGAAACACATCAGACAGATGTATATTTCTTGGGTTAGGTTATGAAACGATGTCAAGACTGAAGCACAACTTCATCCTCCATTAACATACCAGAGCTGCAATCGAAAAGTTTAATTGAATGCATATTTATATGTTAGAAAGGCTCAGCTACTTGTTCACCGAAGCCCTCTGCTGTATCATTTTCCCCTTTTACTTGGGTTTGTCTATCACAAAAAAATCCCAGAAAATGCGACTTTAAAGATGTGATAATATGCGGAAAAAGTTGAAGGGGTGTTTGTAAAGAACTCTACATCTTAAAGCTGGTTGCTAGAGCCGAAAGTAAAATGGTGAATTTCCTTCCATTGTCTTCCTACATGACAGCTGGATAACCTCTGGATGATGAATTAATGAGGCATGTGTGTGCAGACCTGAGTGAAAGAGAGAGGGGTGAGAGAGATATGTTTGTCTCTGAGAGGGGGGGGTCAACTGGGAGAGCAGTCCCATTTTATATTCAATACTACAGCCTCTTCTTTGGTCCAGGGGTGTCTTAAGAGAAGGAGAAGAAAGCAATTTGGCATTAAAAAAAGGAAACAAATCAATGGGAAATGTTGTCAGGGTGTGGTCAGTGAAGAAAGAGGGCGATAGAGGAGAGGATGGAGCTGGAAGGGAGGAAATGTTAGAAATGCAGAGATAGGGGGCATGACATGGTGATGGATGTAAAGAGAGAGCGGACAGCACATGAGCAGCAGCAGAGGTGTAAGCCAGTGGAGATATGCATAAAGGCCTGAGTTAGAGTTAGAAAGAGGTGGGGTATGGAGAAAGAAAGGAAGCAATGCGTGGAGTGAACTAGGGAGTGGAGGGAGGGGGGGTAAAGGATGAGCTCATTGCAGTCGCTGGGCTGATGACACGAGGAGCGGAGGCGAGGGATGCAGGAGGGGAGGGGTTCGCTGCTTGTCTGCGAATCGATGGCCAGCGTCTGAGTGCAGCACACGCACACAGCTGCAGACAGCTCTGACGGCAAAACCAGCATCTGCCCTCCTCTCAGAGGTCCCAACCATCCCTACTGGGAGAAAAAAAAATATTCAAAAAAAAAAAAAAATTAAATATCAGCTGATGGTTTTGAAGGCTTGAGATCACTCAGTTTTCCCCACATTGAACTACAAACTGATTGAGGAGCAGAGAGAAGCAGCTGATTCTTATGTCTGCTGCCTCCCCCTCCCTCCCTTCCTCTCTTCCTCTTCACTCTCTCTAACTCACACATCCACACCCACACCCAAGGATACCCTCACTGCTTCACTGCTGCTGTTTCCCACACACTGCCTTGCTTCTTTCCTTTTCACTTTCTGCCTTTAGAGAAAAAAATATTAAAGCTCTCTGGGGAATATATGCTCACCTGACCCTGTTGTTTAGACTTTTTTGGACACTCTTCATTTCTCCATCCTTTCTCTCCTACTTTGCTGCTACCTGTGGAGGTCCCTCGGTTCTCCGGTTCTACAGCGCAGAGAGGAACCATGCTGGGTTTGGACGTGTGCGAGTTCGGGGGTCAGGTGCTGGAGCTGCTGTGGCTGACCATGTGCTATAACGGTGAGGTGATGGAAGCCACAAGTTACTCTAATTCTAGCCATTTACTTATTTCACTTGCATAATATAATCTTATTCTTATTTGGATTGCTTTGAAAGGGTGTGGGCATTTTTAGGTTTGCCAGAATAACCTAAGGAGATCAAAAGCCATCAGCCCAAACCCTCCTGCTTCTTTTTGTTTTATTTACAAGCATCTGTCTAATTTTTAAACATATGATTTTATTTAAAAGGATTTAAGAATGAGAAATGTGGATGTAAGCATGCTGATACAGCATGTGCAAGAGTCAAATGATGTCACCAACATCTGCTTTCACATCTGATGGTTATCCCTCCTTCTGTGTCTGTCGTGCACTCAACACAAGGCAGATGTGTGTGTTTTACTGCGCGTGTGTGTTTTGTGTGATATACTGCAGCAGTTCCTGAGAGTGGCAAATGAAGAACTGATGCCAGGGTTCCCCCCTCTGACACAGATTTAAAGTGTGACAGTTTGACTTTTCCTCCTTTAGCAATGAAAAGGAACAAGAAGCAGGGCGGAGAAAAACCTACTTGAGGTCGTTTTGAAGACAGATTGTTGAATGGTGGTGAGGGAGCTTTTTATATGAGCGGCAATGAATTAGAAAAGTCATGAATTATCAAAGCACATTAAATTTTTACTTCTGCTGAGCTCTAATTTTGGTGCAAGTTAGACTCTGCTTAAATTTTCCCATTCATTGTAAATCCAATTTCCGGTGCTATACACACCTTTAAGTGTTCCCATCAGGGGGGCAAGGGTTCTCCAGTTTTATCGGTGATGGAGAGGGCGATGATATGATGCTGTCTAGTTTTTCAGAGATGCTTAGATTGCTTAAAAAGAATACACTAACTTAATTCTGCCTTTATTATTGTAGCAACCCCTGTGCAGCAGGCCAGGTGCATAGAACGCATGCATCCCTGCTGCAACACAGCTGATACAAATGAATGGCTCGTTACTCAGCATTAATCAGCTGTGTTAGAGCAAGGATGCATGTAGAATCTACAGAGGTAGGTGCACTTACGTATGAGCATGAATGTCATTCAATGTAATTTATTTTCTAGGTTGGAAGCATAGTACAACAAATAACCTTAATAAAGCATTAGGAATTTGGTGCTTCCTTAAAAACTATACACAAAAGCTCAAAGATCTTTTTTTAACCCTGCTAGTATTTGGATAAATGTCCTTTAGGTGGTTGGATGTGCTTCACATTCTTTTTGTTGCCAGATCTGTCTCAATATTTGATTACCTTTTCTTCTTGCTAGACTTCACAGGGTTGACTCCCTGGCCCCCCGAGTGGATTTAAAATTCTTAATAAGATTAATGCTTGCATGCTTTGTGCAAAAAATTTAAAACTACAGTAAATACAGACACTTAATATATGATAAAGATCCTTATCATGCCTTAATGAGGACAAGTTTCAACCACCTGGCCCAAACTGTTACCTATACAGATGAAAGGTGATTGGTGTTCAAGAACAACCCAGCAACCACCAAAATGTATGCACTGGATGTTTCTGAGGCCTTTGATCATGACTGAAGGATAAATACAACCTTTGAATGTGAAACCAACCTAAATTATTTATTTCTCTGTTCAGATTGTCTAAAGCAATTACATTTCATAATTTCATCATCTGTAACACAGGCTTTATCTTGCTTATATTAGATATTACTCTAAAATAACTTGTAGGAAAAGTATATTCAAACTTTGGCTTAATAACCTTCAAGGAAATTAAGGATCTACCAATATGCATATTTATTATGACTTTCTAATCGACTGTCGTATATAGCCACAGAAACCAAAAAAAGAAACTAAAACACTATACAAATTATCTATATTTATCACCAAAAACATTTGTGAAATAGTTTATTTGTTAAGAATCGAACAGGATCGGTAAATGTGAGATGTAAAAGTCCCAACTCAGAGATGCAAAAGCTTTGAAATGGAAATAATTGGTATACAGAAGTTGACGCAATGAGTTGTTGTCTTTGTACACTTATGCAAATGCTTTGTTTGCACTGATTAAGATTTAATCACATCAGCATGCATTCTTTGTAGAAATTATTAACATTTAAGCCACATTTCCATCCATTTTTCACGCTTGATCCCTTCTGGGGTTGCAAAGGGTGCTGGTACCTATCTCCAGCTGTCTATGGGCAAAAGGCAGGGTACACCCTGGACTGGTTGCCAGTCCATCACAGTAAATTGCCTGTCCTTATATAGTGCTTTTTCAAGTCATTCAGTCATTCACCCATTCATGCACACACTGATGGTTGCAAACTACATTTTAGCCACAGCTGCCAGACAGAGGCCAGGCTGCCGTACACTGGCACCACCAAGGCCCTCTGACCACCATCAGTAGGCGATGCAGGTGTAGTGTCTTGCCCAAGGACACAACAACACTGAAAGCCAGAGCCCGGACTTCAACCGTCAACCCTTCAATTTCAGGGTAAACGCCTACATCTGACGCCACTGTCGCCCCATAAGTGAAAAAACATTAAAGACAAATAATGTCAGAAGGTACTTACAATGGAAATTGATATGACATTCATTCTAACATGAGTGGCATATATAAAATGGGCTTGCTTGATAAAGTTTGCACATATAGTCCCATATAGAACACATGATAAGATATCCCAACATAGGAGAAGAAACGGCAGCCTTAATTTCCTTTCTTGTGCATTTGAGTATAATGTAAACACTAATTATCTCCAAATACTGCCAATGTCTACTATAGACAACATAGTGATAGGTGTTTAGGACACCTCAATCGCTGGTGTAGATCTGTCCATACGTTTATCAAAGATGTGAACAACTATTATCTACTGCTGTTTTTTTCTCTGCTTTATTTTGCAAAAGATTAAATATCTCTGCAATCTTAATGGTACTTTTTTGACAAGATTTGACTCATCAAATAACATCATGGAGACTTGGCAATGAAAATAATTGGCAGACCGAGGAGAGAGCAGTGGATTTTGATTTGAACGTAGGAGGTGATATGATCAGAAGATAAATGACATGACTAAAGAGCCAGAAGAGAGTGAGGGGGAAGATCTGTAGAATGCTTTGGTAACAAAAAAAAAGATTGGCTAAGAAAAAAAAAAGGAGAGCGAGGGCAGGAGGAAATGTTGGACATTCGAGTGTGTTGCCAGATACATTTTATAAGCTGTCAGTCATCAAACACAAACCCCCACAGCCAGAAACATGCCCTTATAAAAGGCTGAGTGACATCTTCTCCTGTCCATCTTCATTTCTTTTATTTCCTTTTATTTACAAATGTTCTTTTCCCTCCAATTTCCTTGTTTCTTCCCTATTTTTCTACTGGCTAGAGCATACTGCATTTTATCTATTGCACGTCTCTTCAGTTATCTTTACTCTATATCCCAGTCTTAGATTGTCAACATTTATTCCTTTTTTTTGTCATTTGTGTTTAAGAGCCTGAGTGATCCGCTTATCGCTTCTCTGCTGCATCACCTGGTAGAGATAAATGTGACTGAGTGGGTGAGCAGACACATACGAGACCAATCAAGTCAGTCAATTAGACAACCTGCTGTCTCATCAAGACTGACTGAGCAGCCGAGGAATTGCTACTGCTTTCGTCTGGTTGTTTGCAGGAAGAAGTTGTTTCTTTCTTTAGCTGACTGAATCTGGTGTAGCCAACATACAAAGCGTGCTTAGACCAGCACTAATATGGGCGTTTGTTGAAGAATTACATATTTTTAGAGTCAAAGCTGATTGGTAAATAGCAATTTGTTATTGTCTGGGTGAATATTTGATTCTGATTGGCTGCAGTGTCCCTGTAAAGAAAGTGTTATAGGAGACTTTTAAAACGTTTCCTATCAAATAGCCTCATTGCTCTAAATCAGGGGTGGGCAACTCCAGTCCTGGAGGGCCTGTATCCTGCAACTTTTAGATATGTCCTTGACTTAATACACCTGAATCAAGTAAATAGATAATTTCGAGAGATTGATTGTATACTGAGGAGGCAATTCAACCATTTGATTCAGGTGTGTTGGACGAATGATGACTCTAAATGTTGCAGGAAATCAGCCCTCAAGACCTGGAGTTGCCCACCCCTGCTCTAAAGGATTGTGCTGTCTTCCTCTTATCATTGTATCAGTGTTACACCATATTATGTGACCCAACAGTGACTCATTGGTGTGCTGTTGTGGATTTTCCTCCCAGTACTTACTTCTACCTTCTTTACTTGTTTGGCAGCACACCACCCACTGGCATGGCATAAGAATTACAATGCCTATTGCAGCTTTGTTGGCTTCAGGCACTTTTACAACATATATTGTTACAGTTAAGGTTTTTCAATGTGGACACCTTAATTGACTTCGTGTGGATGTAGTCTAATACAGTAGTAGTGGTTTAAAAATCCCCCTTCAGGCCGAAAAACCAGCCAAATGGCCTCTGGTTTCCAGCCAACTTCCCCTTAAATTCCAGCCGCTGAAGTATCACCCCTCTTTCTGCTGGGCATGTCAATAATTACTGTAACTCCACCCATAGGCATTGCTTCTGGTTTACACATTCTAGGGGTTGCAGCTTCACTTACAACCTGTCGGTTACCAGCAAAGGACCTGCCAAAGACCCACTATGGAAACAGGGGAAGTTTTAAACTGCTACTACAGTACCTCTGCTTTGCTTCAGATGGTTCATTCCTCCATATCATCCTTTAATTTCTGAAAATAAACCTCATCACTCTTTATCCTTTACTTATAAAACAGCTACTAGTACTAGTTCAGTGAGACATGAAGTGGTTTAAAAGCTAAATAATCTTAGGATAACATTTAAATATTCTAGCAACTATTTATATCTCACTTTGACTTTAGAGAATTGCTTTCACCAGTATCTATCATGCTATGAATCATTTAATGCCCTGTAACTCATCCAACTATCCTTTTATTCATCAGATTTTATAAGAGTTCTCACATGACATACTGCAGCTGTGGATCTAGGACTAGCTGGTCAGCCTGTGCCATCGTAAAAA